CTCTCTATCTCTCGACCATACCATCATCTCTACTCTTCTCTCCTCTCTTCCCTCCGTATCATCTCTATCATCATTATCAGATTAATCAGAGCTGTACAGACTGCAGAGTCAGCTATTCAATCTTATTTACGAATTCAAAAGCGATGCACATGACATCACATGAGATTTTATCACAGAGTATTTAGCAGTATATACTATAAACACAGAGATTAAAATGTGATAGAGATAGTAAGAGAGAAGTAGAGATAGTGAAAGTGATAGAAGAGACTGTAGAGTAGTAGAGATAATGATGATGATAGAGAGGCTAGAGAGTGGAAAAGGTGATAGAGAGAGGTGATAGAGGTGGTAGAAATGGGAGAGGTGATAGTGATGGTAAGAGAGGGGTAGAATGGTAAGATGAGAGTAGAGATAGAGAGTGAAAGTGATAGAGAGTGCTGCGAGGTGGTAGAGGCAGTGGTGGTGGTAGAGGTGGTAGAAGTGGTAGAGGTGATAGAGGTGGTAGGGGTGGTAGGGGTCGTAAGACCTAGTGATGGATGGATTTGATGAGGTGCACGTGATATCATGTGAGGTCACGTTACAGGGCATTTTACTCGGAAAAGTTGGTTTTTCTATAATATATAGAGAGATTAATTTATAGGCCATAGTTATATAAGCTGCCGTAACAAGGAAGGAATTCTGCAGCTCTCAGTATTATTAGTACATAGGAAAAGTTTTAAAATAGTAATATGCAGAAAACACTGGGGCAAGAGAGCTTGATCGCTACCCAGACTATACTGGTAGTTAAGGGGCTGAACCATTCCATATATGTAACAAGAATTGAGTTTTCTTAATATAGCAATAATTGTAGTGGGCTAGTGGTCGCGCAACGAGGTGTCTCAGCAGTTGAGTTGGGCAGTGAAAGAATGAGTCGGACGATAGTTCATCAGAATCCGAAAGTTTATGGGATTCGAGGGGGATATATCGGAGTTCAAGGGCTATATTTTATATTTGTTGGAGAGTTTTATATATTATAGAAAAGGAGACCTAGCATCTATTTTCTCGCCGCTAGTCTGTGGAGATTATTGATGCCATTATCCTGCCGTTACCACTGTCTATTATCATCACCCTAGACACTACTACTGGCTACTGTTACACTTTCATCCACTGTCGACTCGAGCTTGACCTCCTACGGCGGGAGGGCGGGCGGGAAGATGGAAGCCGTCGTGCCTCTCGAGCTGGTGGAAAGAGGCTCGGAGCTGTACCATGATCGTGACGATGAAGATGAATATAAAGACGTCGACGACGACGATGATGATGATGGCTATGCATCACCGCAACTACACAAGCCTTCAATGAACAAGCGAAACCGTTCTCTGCACGCTTCCTGCCTTGCTTGTTGTAGCAAATCCGCCAAATCGCCGAGGAAAGGGCGGCGGAGGACGGGGCGCCTGCTGCTGTATTGCATCGTGGGCTGTTTGACTGTGCTGTTGGTGTTTCCCCTCCCGCTTGTTTAGTGAAATACATACATCTCCCCTATCATTTAATCCCTTGGTCACTCTAGAAACATTTATTCTTTCCCTATCTGTTACGAACCCCGCTTGATGCGTCTGTTGAGAACCAGACGCTGGCGAAAGTGGACAAAGGCACTGAATATGGCTGACACTGGCACCAACAATAGAGGACTGGTCCAATTTGTCGCTCTGACCCTGGGGGCCTTCGTATCCTTCTTCCCCAGTGATATCGAGAGGGCTATTGCTCGCTCAGGTCGACCCGGCCAGCCAGGCGAGTATCTTTCTCATGCGCCTAATGATACCACGGATGGTGTTATTCCTATCCCCTGCCATTCTCACAACGACTATTGGCGGCCCGTACCATTGTTTTCTGCCCTTGAGGCCGGCTGCATCAGTGTAGAGGCAGACATCTGGCTCTTCGATGGCGATCTCTTCGTGGGCCATACCACAGGGTCTCTCGCTCCGGATAAGACTTTGACGAAGATGTATATCGACCCCCTTGTTGAGATCTTAGAAAAGCAGAACCCTATTGCCCATTTCCATCCGAATCCCAATAAACCACCAAATGGTGTTTTTGATACAAAGCCCTCGCAGACCCTCGTCCTGCTCATCGATTTCAAGAACAAAGGAGCCGATGCTTGGCCATATCTCCTTTCTCAACTGTCCCCACTGCGTGATCGGGGGTATCTTACTTATTTCAATGGAACAAGTGTGACCGAAGGCCCAGTAACAGTAGTTGCGACAGGAAAAGCGCATTTTGAAAACATTACCGCCAATGATACATATAGAGATGTCTTTTTCGACGCCCCACTCGATAAGCTGGCGAAGGATGCGATCATAGGAAGTGCGCAACAATCCTCAAACCTAGGCATTCTCGACGATGAGGAGCTCGAAGTCGACGAGTTGGATATCGTTAGGTCCCGCCGCAATCAACAGAATAAAACTCCAAAACGATATGAGCCCCGACCCGTAGACGCCTCTCCCACTAGAGTCCACAGAAACGAAGAAGGATCCAACCCATATGTCTACAATCCCAAGAACAGCTACTATGCTTCCGTCTCATTCAGAAAGTCTATCGGATTCCCCTGGAGTTTTCGCCTCAGCCACAGCCAGCTAGACCTGCTCAGAGCCCAGGTGCGCGGTGCACACCAACGTGGTCTTAAAGTGCGCTACTGGTCCACTCCTAGTTGGCCGCGTAGCTTGCGGAATTACCTCTGGACTGTGCTGATTAGGGAAGGCGTGGATATTTTGAACGTCGACGATTTGAGAAGCGCGGCGAAAATGGATTGGGGCGAGAGTACGTTGTTGCAATGACGAATGTCAAATAAATAGTTGGGGGTTTGGTTTTGGTTGCGTTGGTTCCTTAATCCTCTCTTTCTTGGATGCTTGTGAGCATTTTGTGCGCGCTCTTATTAGATCTGGATAGACGAACTCTTGGCTATACTTGTACTACATAGGGGATTTTCTGCTCCTTCTGTTTTCCTTTTTTGGATTTTGATTAACTGGGTTGAGGGCGTTTGGGTTCGTTCATTATGATTTTGATATCCGGAATGTGGGTCTGCGAGATATCGGTCTCTTCATTTTGTTCCCCCTACCTAGTACTTATATACTAGTGGTATGCAACCTTGGATTAGATTTTATGTTCTCTCATGTTTGGCGCTTCATGGGATGGTGGCCTCATGAACTCTACATTGGATATATGACCGCTTAACTTGCATAGAGTTTTCCCATTTCGACTGTAAGTGCAACCTAGGGGGGCTTTGGTCTTTGGTTATGACCCGAATTGTTCTATAGAACATGTGAGCAAATAGTTGCCCACGTGTTAATTTTCTTGCGTCTCGCGCTGGTTTTGGCTAATCCTGTTTATGCAACAAGGCCTGCTTGAAATATATACAGACGAAGAAACGAAGGCGATGGATAATTCTCCGCATAGCCACTTTTTGCATGGTCGAAACATTCGACGAAAAAAAAAAAAAAATTACAAACAACCCACTGCCTCCGTCCCAAACTCCCCCACCAGGCTCCCTTCCCTCCTCACCAACTCCCCCAACCACTCTTTCGCGCTCTCAAAATCCTTCGCTCCAAACTTCACAAGAACGAAATTTGATCGCACGCGCGACGCCGTCCATGTTACGGGGGGCGGCTCGGAGGCTGTGCCGCTGACGGTAGACGTAGTAGTAGCAGCATTCGATGCAGCCCAATTTCGCCCGCCAATACGTGGTAATGAGGAGAATTCTTTCATCATGAAGGAGGCGAGGGAATCGAAGAGGGGTCCGTGGAGGATTAGGGTTCCCACGATCCCGTGCGGGCGTGTGCGTGCTTGGATAGAGAGGGGTGAAGGGGTGAGGGAGGTGTCGTAGGGTGGTTGGAGTTGGGATGCGGATGATGGTTGCGGTGGTGGTATTGGATGAGAATCCAGGTTGGGAAGAGGTACTAAATTCCCCTCTTCATCCTCTACGTATCTTGTTTCGTCTTCCAGGACGACGGTGTCGCGGAGGAGCAGTTTGCGTTCGCCCGTGGACGGGTCCTCGGACCAGACTTCGCTCCGCCCCTTCCAGGAGTTGAAGTTCCAGTCTTCACCACGCGCTGACCGGCCTTGGCTGACCCAGTCGAGGACACAAAGACTTGGTCCGTAGTTGTTTTCGGCATTCGAGTCCCCCGAAGGCTTGTCCTGTAGAAGCGTGAAGCGCAGTAGCTGCTCATACTGGCTATCTTGGAACGGCTGTGACGGGTCAGGGATATAGCAGAGACCGGTCTGGTTGCTCAGTTTCACATCCAGTATCTGACTACTTTTGGATCGTGAAGAGTCTCTATCGCGCTCTAAATATTCAATATTAACGCCTCTGGCATCGCCATCTGCATGCCACTGTTGGTTGCCGCTGAGGTTTTGGATGACGGGCTGGCCGCCTCCGTCCGACGCCCTCGTCCGTTCTGTCTTATATATCTTCGTGCTTCCTTGCGGGGTTGTCATCACCAATCTCGTGCGCGGTAGCAGGGTGATCGAGACATCGATGTGGTCACCGGGAAGCAACCCACCGCCATAAGTGAGCAGGTAGAGATGGACGGGGATGGATGCACATTCCGGATATTTGGAATTGAGGGGTGTTGCGGGAGTCCGGTTAAGAATCTTTAGAGGGTATTGATAAGACAGCTGCGAGATGGTTGTAACACAAGGCGGGAGTACAGAGAGGACAACCTCCCCTTTGCCTGGAGCGGCGTGGTTTGTTGCGAAGGGGGAAGCGAAGGGGGTCTTTGGAACATTTGGTGAACGTATGGTTTCCTTCGCTGGAAGGGTAGTGAATGTCTTGTACATCTTTGTTCTTAGTTTATCAATCGGATATATAGGAAAAGATTAAATTAATCTGAGAGCGAGATATTGAAACTATTTAGTATTCCTCAGTCGATTTATATCCTACACACAGAGCCCAAGGGAGGCGACGATGTGGCGGTAACCGCGTTTGACTTTTCATCGTGGAGCACATCAAAGAAGGGATCCATCGCCATTCATCAATAATCCAATATTGAGAAAGCTGTTGGAGCCGCCGGTGTCAATCCGCTTTTTAGCCTTCGTCGTCGAGGCCGAATGTTGGAAGTTGGCAGAAAATGTTACAGGTACAGAATATAACCTAGGTCATCGAAACGGGCTGATTACACCGCCAAAATAGCCGTGTTCTGGTTTTACGACGTAAGTATGACGCTGCTGGGACCTTTGTTCCTCCAAGTTGGCCTAGGGTACCGCACTGCTGGGCTGTGCAAATGTTGCAATCTTGTAACCTAGGTAAATTATTTTGATACAAATACTATACCGTACACTAGCGCCATGCCATCCGTACTGGCTGTCCCAAAGGGGAAATGTCGCAGCAGCCAATCCTCTGTCGTCGCGTTTGTTAGAAAAGCGAACAGTTGAATCCTCACATTGACCCGCAACGCTCGGTTTGATATCTTCCCAACTTGGACCGCTGTCTACCATCAATGTCGTGTCTCCTATCCACGAATAACGACTTATTCCTCGCCCACTGTTGACCCTACCCCCACCCAACGCGTTACCGCTCGCCGCACTTCGATTCTGCCCAAAGTCGCGTCCTGGCCTGATCCTCGGAAACAAAAAAGTCCACGCGCAATACAACAATCAGCCCCACTGATTTCTGGACTAGAGACAAGCCATTCTACCGTCGCATAGAATAAAAAAATGGAGGTGTCCGCTCAGGGTGATGAGCGTGACTCGAGTCCGCTTACGGAGCCCAGTGAGAGCGCCAACTCACCACCCCCAAATGCGAGTAGTAGGAGGAGGTCTGGGCGGGTGAAACGGAAACCGGAACCTTTTTCATTTGCTGCTTACAGCTCGAGTCGCCCGTCGCAGGCCGGTAGAACAACCAAGCGGAAGCGTACTGCTCAGCAGGAAGACGGGGATGAGGACGAGGATGATAACGACGCGTCCGATGCGGAAGAGAGTGGGGCTGAGGATGGAAAAGAAGAGGAAGACGAAGACGACCAGGACGAAAGTGAGGATGATGCGCCTGATGAGGAAGAACTTAAGGAACGGAGGAAGGCGGCACGAAAGAAGGCAGCTGCTAAGAAGAAGAATAATGCATCCAAAGGACCCAAGCAATCCAAGAAGCCCGGCGCTAAGCGGAAGGCGAAGAAACCAAGAATTACCAATGGCCTCACGACTGAACTTACTATTCGCCCTGCTGTCAATGGGGCTCAGCTGGTATCTAGGTCCAAAAAGCCGCGGGCAAGGCAGAGTGATTTTGCGGATGAGGATGGCCTCTATGGTAGGGATAGCTCAACCCTATTGCTCGATCGATTCCTTAAAATTTTTACTAACACGCTCTTTGTTTTAGCTGAGGTTTTTGCCCGAGGTCACACTACCGATGCTGTCGCTGCAGAGTGGCTTACAAAGTACGAGCAGCACAATATCAAGGGGATGACCGATCTGGTTAATTTTATCTTGAGGTGTACTGGAACGGACTTGAAGGTGGACGACCACGATATTGAAGACGTTGACAATGTTGCGAACCGTTTAAATGACCTCCAAGAAGAATACCAAGCGCAGAGCATCACCGAATACCCCCTTATTTCGAAAATCAAAAAATTCAAGTCCTTCCAATACATCTTAACCAGCTTTTTCAGTTCTCTCATCCAAACCATCCATAGCTCATCAGTCCTATACACTGATTCTGCCCTTGTTGAAAACATCCAAGTTTGGGTAACGTCAATGTCGTCCGCCCCTATTCGACCTTTCAGACATACCGCTACGATAATTTCGCTAGCCATCGTGACGACGTTGTGCAATGTTGCTAGAGAAGTATCCTTAACCGTGTCGAATACTCGAAAGCAATTGGATACAGAGAAGAAGAAGAAGTCAGTGAATAAAGGCAGAGCTGATGCGATGCAATCCAAGGTCCAAGAAGGGGAGAAAAAACTGCAAGTTATTGACAGCTGGCTTGGTGACTGCTTTGATACTGTTTTCGTTCATCGCTACAGAGATGTCGATCCAAAAATTCGAGCAGAGTGCGTCAACGCACTTGGAGGGTGGGTTAATACATATAGACAAATGTTTTTCGACGGCCAATATTTGCGATATTTGGGTTGGGTCCTTTCGGATACAGTTGCCCATACGAGATCTGTTGTGGTGAACCAGCTCCATCGACTCTACCAGAACAAGGATAACATTGCCGGGCTCCGCGCTTTCACGGAGCGATTCCGCCCGCGGATCGTGGAGATGGCCACTAGAGATGCCGAACCCAGCGTCCGCTGTGCTGTTGTGGAGTTGTTGGATTTGATTCGGGAGGCTGGATTGCTTGAACCGGATGATATCGACGGCGTTGGGCGACTTGTTTTCGATAGCGAGCCACGCGTGCGCAAAGCCGCTGGTAGATTCTTCGTGGAGAATATCCAGGACGTCTACGACACTCTTACTGAGAGTATGGAGGAAGAGCTACACGAAGCGTTTGTCGATGACGATGACGAGGATAATTTCGAAACACCTCGCCCCTCTTGGATCAAATACAAATGTTTAGCGGACGTTCTTCAGGTGTATGATGGCCAGGAACCCGCCGTTCCGGCTGAGCAGGATATTTCATTATCACGAATGAGTCTTAATGGCCGCGTTGATTCGAGATTCGTCCTCGCGACAGAATCTATATATTCTCATTTTGGGGAGCTCCACCAATGGGAACATTTGGCTGGGTACCTCCTTTATGACCACTCTCAGATCCCAGAGACCTCGAACGATGAAGATTCCACTACTACAGTAAAGAAGCTATACAAATTAAGTGAAGGCCAGGAGGGGATCTTGCTGGAAGTCTTAAGCTGCGCAGTGAAACTACATATCATGGACATCGGCAAATCCGATACAGATAAGAAGGGTAGAAAGACCAAATTGTTGGTAGAGAGGATGGAGGATCGACAGGAATCTATTGCCCACAGTCTATCTCAGATCATCCCCCAACTCCTGAATAAGTTTGGGTCAGCACCTGAGGCTGCTTCTGCTATTCTACGGCTAGAGCATTTAGTCGACCTCAATTTGATCCAGGATCTTCAGAAGGATGCGGCTGCGTATTCAGACCTCATTGGCAATATCAACAAGCAGTTTTTGACACATTCGGACCAGGCTGTCCTTACCGAAGCTACAGTGGCCTTTTTACATGCACGCACTTCCGACGAGCTTAGAGAAGCTATGGAATCCAAAGTGCAGGAGCTCTGGGATGACACCATTGAAACTTTACGTACGCTATCCGTAACCAAAGGCACGGAAGAATCGCCCGCTCTCTCCATTAGTGTTCTTACTGCTTTGTCCAATACAGTGACGCGGATTTCGAACCTCGCAAGTGTATCTGACTGCAGTTCCATCCTGGAAGCCGAGTGCCGTGCTTCCTCTAAGAAACAAAAAGCCTCAACGGAAGCCGCTGTCGATATTATTCTCAACTTAAGCAAACGAGGTCTTCGAGCAGAAGACTCTGATGAGGAGATAGAGAGGTTGGAATTGGAGCTTGCGACCAACACTTTTAAAACCCTTCTTGTCTATTTTATGTGGAAGGTACGGTTCGTAAGAACTGCCCTATCATCACGGGACCCATCTTTCGATACTGAATTTTTTGATTCGCTTGCTGCCCGTCGAGATGCGTTCGTGGCAGTCCTCACAGCTATAATGCAAGGACGCTCGGGCCTTGATGAGCTCAGAGTCTCCACCGCGCTAACCCTACTTGACCTCCAAACCGTGTTTGGGACGCTTCGTAATTCAGGAGCAGGAGCAGATAACTCTATCCCTTCACTAGATGATGAAGTTGCTCTCCAAATCCAAAGCTTGGTGCAATCAATCAGTCCAGAGACTCAAGCTCTAATTTCCCGTATGCACGACACGGCCGAACGGACATTCGCTAAAAAGTCTCGACGAAAGCTGGAGGCCGCCGAAGTCGCGGACGATGATGAGCCTATGGACTCACCGTCAGATATCAATAGTAGTCCATCAGATGATGACGACGATGATGACGAGGCTGACGAGGAAACACGGGAGATATTGGCTGCCAATCGAGTCCGGAGTGTGTTGTTAGCCGAGCAGAAATTATGCCAACTCACGGGCAAGATGGTCCTTGCTATCGTTGGTGGTGTGCTCGATGGTCCCGGGCGACAAAGTGGGAAGCTGAGACAGAAGCTACTACGGAACAAGAGCCGTCTCGGACAGAATTACAAGGAAGTTGTGGCGTTTCTTGACGTTGAGAAGTCTCTGGGGCGGAGAGTTGCGTCAGCGAAGGACAAGGTTAGGGTTAATGGGGCTGGACCTTCTGGCGCTGCATCGAAGAAGAATAATGGGAAAATGAAGTCTGCGGAGATGGTTGAAGATGACGACGATGAGGAAGAGCAAGCGGCGCAGGCGGAAGAAGATGAGGAAGATGACTTAGTGGCACGAGGGCTTGTTGATGAGGAGGAGGAGGACGAGGGCCCTCACATGGGAACAGCTGATGAAGATTTGGAACTGACTCCGCCCCCTGACGAAATTGACGATGATGTGATGGGAGATTAAATTTTAAAAGAGGTAGGAAAACACGAGCTTGGGCGACCGTAATATATGATGAATCTTTTGCTTTTCTTTCCCCCTTCTCTCTGCTTCAATTCCGCCCTGGTTTATTTTCCCTAGCCTGCCTGGACATATTTTTCCTCTTTAGTCAGGCTTCACTTCTATTCAAACTTGTACTTGAGCATGTACTTAATTTACTTCCTTCTCCCCTGCCATTTCTTGTCTTGTATCGCCATTTTTTTTCTCTTTTTTATGGATGGGGGCAGCTGAACGGGCGGTGGAGGGTCGCTGATTTTGTGATCTTGTGGTGTTTTCCCCCTTCCTCTTTATATTCCCACGTATAGTTTTCATGAAATTCTTCATTCTTATGATGTGTCCATAGCTTGTGTTTCGCCATATAAATACAATACCTATGTCATTCTTTCAGTTTACTTGTCTTCTCCCTCCGAATATAACCTCGTACATTTTCTGCGCTGAACCTAGGGCAACTGATAGATATCATGTTTTTGTAGCAGCTATTAAAATCTGTTGAAATTTCTGTTTAAAATAGCTATTAAGTGCTGTCACTATTCTCTAATCTCTCTGTTTATTATAGAAAAACCAACTTTTCTGAGCAAAATGCTCTGTAACACAATCTCACATGATATTACATGCATCTTATCTAGACTGGCCGCTGGGATCATGAATTTCACATTTGATCCCATTTGGTCTGATCTCATACATTTCTTGGCATGAGTCCCATCAGAACCAAGCCTCAAAAAAATCTGAAAATGAATCATTTCTGAGAGAAATAATATGAAAAATGACCAGATTTAATTCAAGAATAGTGAAATGAGAATAATTTCTCAGAATAAACTATAAAAGATAATCATTCTTTTAAAATCAGAATAAGACTGAGACTGAAGATTAAAATCAGTGTAAGAAATCCCGCTCCTTACGGATTCTTTACCTCTATTTCTATCTCTTGTGTAATCAATAGAGCTAGCAGCCCTTGGCTACACACAACTATATAGACTGGAGTTCATGAATACTATTCATAACTCAGCTTGAATACTATTATATATTTAATCTCTATATTTTATCTTTCTACTGTGAACACTTCTAGTAGTTAACAGTATATATCATATCAAGCTACAAATATCTGAATAATTGTCTGTGAGTACTTATTCTTATATTTCAAGCTCAGTCAGTCAGCAATTATCTATTATGACTGAAAGAACTAGAAACTTATATACTTTAATCTCTGTGAACTCTACTGCAGATACTCAGAAGCAGTTATCTGAATTATGAATAATTTCTATAAAAGAAGTCTCAGAGAACTTATTAATTACTCATAGAATATTATTCTCTATATCTGTAATAGAGAAACTCTCTAAACTTATGAATAAATTAATCTTAGTGAAGAACATTCTTGAGTATCTTCTACAGAATTAAGCTATTTTTCTATAAGAAATACTTACTATCTGTAAATACTCTTAAACTGAGTCTCTAGATATAATCTTCAGAGATACTTATAAACTGAAAAGAAACTTTCTTAAGCTGTAATTATTTAAGATCACTTATTAAATCATAATCTATAAAAGCTTTTATAAGTTTGTATTTGAAATTAACTTACAAGCTCAGCTGTGTAATATGAAAGATAAAGAAGCTGTTATCTATATAATAACAGATCTCTATTACACTGAAGTCAAGAACTGACTGAACTATCTAGAGAATAATTATAAGAGATCTTACTAATCTGTTCTTAAGATCTATTTAAAGAATAAGTTAAGAGACTCTGTGAACTGAACAGAGAATATCTGAACTGTGATTATTAATATTAGAAAAAGAGGTAAGAAATCTGATAAAGACTACTCACAGTACTTTATAAAATTATAATATAAATTAAGATCTGTGAAAACAGAACTCTGAAATAAGATCTGAATAATGATATTTATAAAGAGACTGAATAAAGACATGTAAAATAAGCTCATTGAGTAAGACTTTAAGCTCTTAATTCTGAAGAAACTGATAACTCTTATTCATTATTTACAGATTACTGTGAGAATCACAGATCTGTGAAGAGTAGATCACTGACTAATTCTATAAGAGTCAGAATAACAGAGAACAGATTTATTAGAAAAAGATAATAAGATATAGAGAGATTTATATCTGACTACTAAGTAGAGAGAGAGAGCTTCATAAGCTTCTATAAACAGAGTATATAATAGAGAGATTAAGAAAAAGAAACTCTGCTTTATCTGTTCTAAATCAGAATATCTCTGTGTAAACTATTTAAATAAATTAAAATAGAAATTTAAGAAGTTATGAACAGAGTCAGTAACAGTCTTCTTAAGAATCTTGAAGCTAACATCTGAATCTATTACTTTCTCAATAAAAATACTTACTTATAAGAAAAGACTGTGCTGCAGTATTACTGCTCTGCAAGTATAAAAAGTATTAATAAACTCAGAATCTCAGATCACTGTAATGTTTCTAAAGCTTACAGAGTGTATAAGCTGAAAGATGAAGACTGAAAATCTGCTCTTATAATAAGCAGAGTGTAAGAACTCAGATCTGAGAGCTGAGAAACTTATAAAAGCTATCTTTGAATTGCAAGATCTCTCTGAAATCTGAAGAAGATTTACAGAAACTGTGATTATTACAGATATTATAGATAATATATACTTAAGACTTGTATAACTTTAAAGATATAATTCATACATAGCTGTCTATAAGTCAGGTTTATACTTCTAATCAGTGTTAACAGACTTATTCACAGAGATAGAATCAGTTAATACTGTAGAGTTAATTAAAGAAGATAAGCTTATCTATATAATAACTTTATAAGTGTCTGAGAATCTTGCAGTTATGAAAACTGAGCTTTAAATATTAGAGAAATACTGAGATCTTATAGAGATATTCAGCTCAGTAAAGACAGCTGAGCTTCTCTCTCATTGTGAGAAGAATCTGATAATAGATTTGATAGAAGAATAGAAACTCTTCTGAGAATCAATCTATAAGCTCTCTTACTATGAGACAGAGATCTTACAGATCTATATAAAGAAGAATCTAAAGAATGACTTTATTTAATCTTCACAGTTCTCTGTGAGAGTCTCTGTGATATTTATAAAGAAGAAGAATGAAGATCTTAAATTGTATGTAGATTATTATAATCTGAACTTTAAGATAATAAAGAGCTGCTACTCTCTATCTCTGATTGAGAATGTAATCAACTGTCTTATGAAAGCTATTATATTCATATAACTAAATGTGATTAATATATATACACAGCTGTGAATACAGTTAGAGAATGAATGAAAAACTATCTTTAGAACTGCACTGAGATTATTTAAATATCTAGTGATGTTTTTTGATCTGACTAATATCTTCACAGTATTTCAGTCTTTTATTAATAAAACACTTCACATATATCTGAATGTCTTTGTAATAATATATCTGAATAATATGATAATATACTCTGTGAAGAAGAAAGAACACACTGAGTATATACAAAGTATGTTAAAAATCTTAGATGAGATAGAACTGTATATTAAGCTTATAAAGTATAACTTCAGTGCTCATCAGATTAATTTTCTAGAATATATAATTATAGTAGATAATATTCAGATGAAATCTTTACAGATTGAGACTATTCTATTATAATTAAAGTTAACTAGTATTTATAAGATTCAGATCTTTCTAAGCTTTGTGAATTTCTATAGATAGTTTATCTTTATATTTATAAGAATCTTCTTGACTCTTACAGACATGCTAAAGAGTGAAAATAAGAAGAAGTTATTCTATGAATAGAGAATGAAAAGATTATTAAGAAGAAAGAACTGTGAGAACTTTCTTATTTCAGAAGCTTATAGAGTCTTTGTAAGATTGAAACAGATATTTACAGATACAGTGATACTATTCTACTTTGATTTCTTACTCTTAATCAGATTAAAGACAGATATCTTCTTCTTTATAATTTCAGAAATAGTCTTATAACTACAGTTAAATGAGAACTGAGTTTCAGTGATCTTTTTCTTATGAAAGATACAATCTGTGAAGATTAACTATGATATTTATAATCAGAAGCTTCTTATAATAGTGAAATTCTTTCATCACTGATATTACTACTTTAAGAGCCTTGTAACAGTAATTACTGTTAGAACTGATCATGACAGCTTATAACAGTTTACTTTAATTAAGAAACTCTCATAGCAGCAGATTCACTGAGCTCAGAGACTGAGTGAGTTCTGATTCAAGATAGAATATATTAAGAGAACTAAGAACTCAGTGAATAAACTCTCTCACAGATCAGACTATATTAAGAAGATCAGAGTGATAAATATAGAGAGACTAGAGAAGATAGAAAAGCTTTACAGAATGCTCAGACTGAGTGTTGTGAAGAGATTAATTAAAGAGTCTCTCAATTCTCTATGAGAGAAGAGAAGAGAGAAAGAGAAGAAGTCTGTATAATTACTCTCTATAACACTGAGAGTTAACACTCTGAAAATCTCTATGAGAATTCTTGAAGAGAATATCTATAATCTGAAGAGTTTACAGACTTTGAGAAGTGCTGTGAAAGACCTGATATAAGAGAAAACAGAGTATAAGTCTTTGTAAGATCTTCTATTCAGATTGTCTGAACTGCAACTGAAGAATGAATATACTCAGTATATTCAGAAACTACTCACAGCAGAGATCAATTCTGCAGAAATAAAGAATTGAAGAGACTTAAATAGTCTCTTGTAAAGAGAGAGCTGAATTTATATATCTATAAATGAGTTTCTATATATAGATCTTATTAAAAGATATTATAACTCTTCTCTAGTAGATCATTTTATAGATACTAGAACTTATAAGTTGCTTATAAGAAAATACTTCTGACTGAAGATGTGAGAACTTGTAAAGAAGATAGTGAATTCTTATACTATTTATCAGAATTCATGAGTAGTACAGTTCAGATTATATGAAGAACTTACTTCTCTACTCATCTCACAGAAATCTTAAGAATAGCTAGAAATGAATACTCTGATAGATCTATCTGAAAGTAAGAATATATATAATACCTGCTTTAACAGTGTGCTGATGATAGTAAATCACTTCATCAAGATAACATACTTTATATTCACTCATAAGAACTTGAAGTCAAAGAATTTGACTTATATCTTTATTCACAATGTGATTCAGTTGTATGAATTATCTGTGAATATTATCTTAAATAGAGAATTAATCTTTGTAAAAGAGTTCTGATCTAATCTGATAATTATACTGAAGATCTTATGAGATCTAAGCACAGCTTTTCATCAATAGACAGATGATCAGACAGAATATCTGATAAGTATATTAAAACAGTATCTGTGATACTTTGTTAATTATAATCAGAATAACTGAATGCATTGATTATTACTTATAAAGTTTATATATAACAATTTAAAACATATCAGTACAGATAAAACTCTCTTTGAGATACTTACTAAGACTTATCTGTGAATAATCTTGATAAACCTGTAAGAGTATACTATAGAGTGTGATAATGTCTGTGAACAGGCTGAGAGAATTCAGAAGATTCAGAAGAAAGTCTATAAATTCTTGAGAAAGACTTAAGAGTATTAGAAGAGATACTATGATTTCAAGTATATTACA